GGATATGCGCGGTGTATTCATTAGTCAAAAGAGCCCAAATTACTAGGCAGAAGCCACAGAATAAGGTCCGCTTGGCAGTGTGTTAGACTGCCTCGCTGGCTAGCCACCAACCACAGATTTTTTTTTTTTTTTTTACCGTTTGCTTTGCATGTAACAGACCAGAGAGGAGGACACAACCAGCGGGTTCCTTACCGTCAAGTCGGGATTGTCGCTGTCAAGATGGTTTACAGCTCGTATGACCCCGGACCTCCACGGCCACCGACCGGTGTCGCCGATTTCAGGCGGCTCGTCCCCGCTGACACAGAGGAACCGCTTACCGACCAGCTCCGGCCGAGCCTCGACTGCCATGGCCCTGCGCTGGTCAAAACCCCCCCCTCGAAAAAACTTCCCAATAACGACGCCCTTTACAGACCTGCCATTTACGACATTAAAACAGCTCTGAAGAATCCAACACTACAAAAGAAAATTAAAAAATAAAGGAAAAGTTATAGGTGGTTAAATGCTGAAAACCGACCCGGGGGATTTAAATGTGTAGCAGTCTCCACCCGCGCGAGCGTCAGTCTCTTTTCTCTCAGCATGAAGGAACGGTGGAACACTGAGCCGTATCACAGCCGACATCCATACTGGTGTTCCTCCGCGGGATGGATCCTCAGGCATTCACAGGCCGCAGCACAGCTGTGTCCATCCGCTCATTTAAACCTCATAGTCGGTACTGTTTTAAATAGTATTACTATTATGTTATTAAGTTCTACTGCTGGATCTCTTACTTAAACGAATTTTGCTCTTAGTTCTATTGCGGCACTACTTCTATTATAGTAATAATGATAATTATAATAATTATTATTATTATGATAGTTATTATTATTATTATTATTAGGCCTATAAATTATAGTTTTAGAGCTGCTGCTCCTACTTAAAACAATTAGACACGCTCTTGCACAATACAAAAGGCAGGTAGAACTCATAATAAGGGATAATTCTGCATGGCAGACCCATGGCAGCATAGTGTACACTTAACCTCAGGCATGTCAGAGTTATCAGGTTCATAGAGTAAAACAGACTAATGGTATAGGCCTACATCTGACACATAAAGTGAAACAACAACAAAACCTCCAACCGACAATTACATTTAAATAATCTGTAGATATTCCGGTTTACCTTTTCTTTTTTTATTCACCTCTTTTAGTTGGACCTTCATTTTCTCATAGCTGCATAATGACACAATATCAAACAGTATATCTTTGCGTCATTGTCATGTGTACACAGTAAGTCACATATGCAATAGTCAACAAAGTTGGACCACCTTGTGCAAATAACATAATTGAAACTTTCTTACAGATCTGGCAATAATCAAATATCATCAGTGCACAATCTGCATAATTGCAAGCATTTATTGGTTCGCCAACTAAGAGAGCCAAGAGCTAAAAATCTGCTTATTTATTTTTTTCAATTTTATTTGGTGTTGTTGCAAATCTGTTTACATAATGCAAATGTCTGTTGCAAATCTCAGTGACTACATGCATGTTTTGGTTAAACAGCTCAAGTTCCTCATCTGTTAGTTGATTTTCATATAATAGTCAAATGAAATCTTTTCATTCATTATAATGGCTTTATTTGTACACAACAGTAGTTAATCTGTCTGTTTTATGTGAACATATCATGTAGAATACAGCCGACATGTCTTGTCTCTTTCTTTCAGGTTGGATTTATAGTGTGTACTGTGTTCCACTGGCCTGCTGGGCTGTAAAGGAGCAGAGCTGAGAGAGAGTCAGTCAAGGAGAGAATGAGGCAGAGGAACTGAAGGAGCACAAGAGAGGGAAGGTTTATGTGTGTGTTTGTGCGAATGTGGCTCCATGGAGGATTGCATGCTTGTGTGCTTTTGTATGCTTAGGTGTGTGTGTTTGTGTTTGTGCGTGTGTGTGTGTGTGTGTGTGTGCGCGTGTGTGTGTGTGTGTGTGTGTGTGTGTGTGTGTGTGTGTCTGTGCGCGCGTGTGCACAGAGTGTAGGGATCTTAAGGACAGTATAGAAGTTTGTGGGTGTAGCATGTAGAAAGCAATTTGCCTGGAGCGACCTCCAGGGTGGAATAAAAGAGAGGGAGAGAAAGAACAAAAGAAAGAACGGAAGAAAGAAAGAGATGGATGGAGTAGGAATAGCAGGAGAAAATGAGCATAGAAACACTGATGGAAAAGAGTAAAGATGCTGAAGAAACAAAACTGAAGACAATAGGAGAAAAAAGCAGAGAGGAAATAAAATAGGAAAAGAGGAACAAGTTAAAGAAAAAAATACATCAGTGGTTGAATCAGAAAATGAAACTTTTAACAGTAAAAGCATGAAGCACAATAAATATCTCTTATCATGCTGATATATTGACTATTGTTTTTTGAACAGATGAAGTGATGTCAAAAGAAAGCAGATATTACATTCTATTTGAAGTTCAAAAGCATCTCACACCTCCTGTGAACGCTGCTATAAAATGTTGTTTATTGTTTGCCTCACAACAGAGTTGAATGAAAAGAAAACTTGAGGTTTAAACTGGACTTATATCCAGGGCCTGCTCAGGTCACCCTAAAGGCTCTGTCCTCTATTCAGGTTGAACACAAAAGAGAATATTGGCAGCATAGTTAAATATAAGGACAATGAAAACACACAAACACAGTTAATTCACCCTGTGAGTGCGTGCTGAGGCAATAAAACATGTCTGCACAAATTCACTTGAGTGAATAGTTGGTGCTTTGCCAGCTAACATCTGTTCAGTCACTTTACTTGCTTTTTGTAGTGAATAAACACTCAGTCCCAAGATGACCTGGTGGTCAAATTTGTAAGATGTGTGAGAGGAAAATTTACACCTGAAAAAAACAGCTTTCACTTTTAATTGGAAAACTTTAAAAGTGATTGTTTGCACAATTTCAATGATGTCTCTATTTGTTCAAGTAAGTGTGACACAAGCATGTACAAGCATCTCGGCAAAGCCACTAAATCTGTTATTTTTTTGTGCCACATACTTAATCAGAATCAGAAATACTTTATTAACCTCAGGGGGAAATTTGGTGAAGTTTCAGTATGTGGCATAGAGGCACTGCAAGCTATTGCAACTTTTTTTTTTTTACTACTCACCTTGACTGGTATCACAACCTGTAGCCACAAAACTTGCAAAAATGGCACCACAAATTATCTCTGAATATTACATTTTATAGTAGAGTGACTCATATTCAGCCGTAGCAATTTGAGCAATACAACTATGAAAGCAACAGAGCAAGGCTAAGACCGAGAGTGCTTGCATGCAACGCATACTCGAACATGTTGGCACTGCTGAATGGCTAAGCAACTTGGTTTCCTCTGTCAGTCTAGCAACAACTGAGAAATTGAATGTAAGGTTTCTCAATTATATATCAGACCTTTTAAAAAATGATGGTTAAGATTATATTGCTGAACATGATTTTTAGGCTGCAAGGATAGTAAACCTCTTTTTTTGTAACTAATTTGATGTGTTTCAAATATTATACGTACGCTTATGACCTTAATTTGCTGCTACCTCTACACGTATGGCATATTGTAGCATTAAAAATTAAAAGCAAAGCTGCTAAATGCTCAGTGTTGAGGTGTTTTCATTTCAGCTGTGATCATCTGATGGAGTTCCAGACAAGCTGTGTGACCAGAGAGGCTCCACTGGGAATCTCCCTCACACTGCTGCACTCTGCTGCACACTGCAGCAGCCGACTTCATGAATAACAAGTAGCAATGAATACAACCCCCCTTCACCCCTATAACCACATTCTACCATCATATGTACATGCAGGCACAAATCTGCATGTGGTCACATTCACAAACATGCACATCTGCAAATATGTAAAGGCACAAGTCTTGTGTGCACATACAGAAGCTCACACGTTTGTGTGCTCTGATATCAATATCTGCACACACAGATGGACATGCACACACAAAGAAACAGACATGCTGAAGCTCGCAGATGGGGTTCATGTCTGCCAAATGCTATGTATGGGAAACTGTAATGAATACGATTACGACCTAAAGACTGGTGTGGTTTCCATAATGAGCAACACATAAAGGCAGTCAGTCCCATTTGTACTTTAGTTATCTAGATGCTAAGAATAAAAATAAATAAATAAAGTTATTTATTTTTCAGGCATCTTCTGTGTTTAACTTTTCCAGTAGTAGATCCTTACAATAATATACCTGTTACAAAACACATGAAAATTCTTGTGTTGCATGCGGAATACAGCTAGGTGAATAAAGCCAACAGTACAGTTGGTGTTAGATAGATAATAGATAGATAGAGATAGAGAGCTAGAAAGATAGATAGATAGATAGATAGATAGATAGATAGATAGATAGAGATAGATAGGTGATAGATGATAGGACAGTGGATTGTTTTTGTTTTCTGCACAGCAAAGGAGGCTGACTATTTAACAGTTCCATTACACATAATTGTTTAACACTATTAAGAATACATCTGTGGTTCAATAATTGCTTATCCTAATGTAAAGTTATTATGGTCTAAAAGAGGTCGCTTGATTTGTGTTAATGAGCCCCTCTTACAGGCGGTGGCACTTCCTTTGGTCGATTCAGAAGACATTAAATAAATTATCTTGTGAATAATAAAGAATTGCCTAGATGCAAACACTGATATATACACTATTTATTGTCACTATTTGAATTTGTCCTCATCATTTTGTGTATGGGGGAACCTAGACGGGGTCATTTTCATTTCTATGGTGGGAAAAATGCTTTTTTTCCCCCGACAACAACGCCTGGAAACCCTCATCTCATTGCTTTATTCTCCCATTGGTTAGAATCCGCCACGAGTTGAAGACTGGCCAATCAGAGCGGAGGTGTTGCGTTTGAAATGTCACCGCTTCCATCAAGCGCACGGGTGACGCGAGTAACGCTGGCTAACCAATGAGAACGTGTGTTCGTTGTAAACACACCACGCTGGCCAATAGCAGGCGCGGTAGGTTGTTCTTTTCCTGTTTGACGTCAGCGGCTGTCCGAGCGGAGCAGCGTTCAGGTGCCAGGGGGGAACTGCTGGGTGAAGTAGAGAAGGGAAGAGGAAACAACCTGAAGGGAATATAAGAGACTGCTGCTAAACATCAGTAGTAAGAGTGGACGGTGACGCTTATTAAGACGGATTGAAAGCTTTTCAGACATGTTCCGCTGATGTAAAGCGAGATAATTAGGCGGTCCTGGATTTGCTCGTCGAAGTTTTGGGTTGGAAGAAGTTCACGACGGCTCGGCTAACCACTAGCGTTAACACCGCCGGGACTATCGTCTACCACTGACACGGACCTGCACAACAAAGAGACACAAACATGGTGTCCTGGCTAATCTCAAGAAGCGTTGTGTGAGTACAAAGACACCTGAAAGGGAGAGCTGAAGTTTTTATGCCTCCAACCTCATGGAGATGATTAAGGGCAGCTGATGGTGGATGAGCTTTGTTAGCTTGTTTGGCTAACTTACCGTCGAGATGGCCGCTTTATGTCTATGTACTAGTTTAAATATGATGTGTTTGTTGTAAAAGAGTCAGTATTTATGCTAATAATGTTTTCAAATCGGTACAAGCACACCTGGCTGTTTCTTTTCTGGCTTAAATAGTCGAAGGCCTCGTTGCAAGTTTGCCCCCAAAAGCTAATGCTACCACTGTTGTTTATGAATAATAGTCATGCGCACTGTTGATGAGTCAACCTATCAATATGCAACTCTTTGTTTAAAGTATCGGTGAGGTGGAAGCGTTCAAGCCTGGACACGTTCATCTGTAAGGGAGTGTCAGGTACAGCTGTCATCTTGGAGATATTATTAGCAAGCCAGCTCTGCCCAATTTAACCTGGCAGCCATAACAATGCAAGGACACAGGAAGAAAGACGTCCGCAAATTAATCTTAAGTGGATTTTCATGGATTTGTTTGGTTACTGGGTTCTTGTCTTCCATTATCATACTGATGTAATCCCAAATGCCGAGGTTCAGACCCTTAGGTTAAAGCACTCCAGTGTTTTTTTTGTTTTTGTTAATAAAGTCAAGTCAACTTTATTTATATAGCACATTTTATAACAGCCGAGGTAGACCAAAGTGCTGTACAGTAAATCAGGCAAAATACATTGCATCCAAAACATCATAAAAACACGTAAAAGCAAAAATTAAAAGTGAATTAAAACACAAAACAATAGTAAAAGTTCTAATAGACACTGCTGCTGGGATAAAACACTCAACTAGAGGTAAAAGCCAAGGAAAAGAAATGGGTTTTTTAAAAATGACTTAAACTGCTCTGTTGTGGCAGCAGATCTTATTTTAAATGGTAATCTGTTCCAAAGTGGCTCGATCGCCCCTAGTTTTGTCCATTTGACTCAGCGGCATGCCCTTTTTATTGTCTTGTCTTATACTTCTCTGGCTTTCTTTGGCTGTGTCTATGTTCAGGAGAAGTAGTTGCATAACTAGGTGCTAATGGAGTTTAGGAATGTAGTGAAAAGTACAGAAGGGAGTGGTGGAAAAATATCACACGCCTCTCCTCTTCTCTGATGTTGGTTACTAAACACATTCTTTTGTAACCTCTTGTCAGACATCAGCACACATTTCAAGTCAGAATGCAGGACCACATGACTATTTCAGTCTCCTTCTTCTCAGAACCTGTTTTTATCTTTGTACTCTGAACTTACCTTCTGCTACTTAGTGCTGCTTTTTTCCAGCAAGCTATTGAATGGAATAGTGTATCACAGCCATAGTTAACAAAGCAATTTGGAATCTAACAGAAAATATCTCCTGAAAATGAACACTGCAAAACTCCAATCTTAGTCATAGCAAGTGTAGATGTTTAATTTCTAGTCATGTAATTACTCTTAGTATAATCCAGATTCAACTGATAAATCCTGATAAAAATATTACTCCAAGACACTAAAAGCAAAAAATAAGGCCTGAAATGTTTGCAATAAGTGAACATCTCTGCCAATAAGGCTAGGTACATTTCTGAAGAAGTGTCATGAAATTATATTCTCACTAATTTGGAAAGTAAATCTCATTTCAAGACACTCAAAAAATGCATTGGCATTGTAATTTTTATAAGCAGTGGTACCAGTCCCTTTTTTAACCAACAGCATTGTGTAATGAAGTTAATTGGTAATTTAATTATCAGGGCGTATAATGTTAAATTCATGTGATATTTTATGAAGGGAAATGTTTCAACTATTAAAGAAAATACTGACAAGGTCAGTCAAAGGAGGTGCTAATCCGTGCAGCACTATCTTAAGTTGCATCAAGCCTATAATGTTCATGAACTGTACACATCAGAAATTCAGATAAAAACACTCAGAGGGGAGAAAGGTAACACCTCTGTTATTAGCAGCACAGAGGGGGGGGGCCTTGGTCCCACTATTACACCCTTGTGACATTTATACTGAAGGTGAGACATGACAGGTGCATAATTGTGGGGCGGTGAACTGGCAATAAGAGAGAGTAGTAGTGTGGATGCTAGGGTAAACATTACTATAAAGTTATGCTTTAAAAAAACATTTTAGTCCAGTTATAGCTGGGCGCACTCACACTAGACCCTGTACCGTGCCTAAGCACGATTGTCCCCCTTCCCCAATCCCTTGCCGGACTGCACTCAAATTGCTTTAGACCCAACCGGGCCTGAGCATGGTCACCTCTTGTAATTATGTCATCACGTCGTAAAGGCAGACTCAGAGTCAGCACAACGGAGAACAACACACAGAACACCAACGTTGTGTTTTATTTCGAGTTGTTTTGGGCAGATACGGCCTTCTAACACTCCTGGATTTCTCAATAATGCAAGGTGGCGATAGATTGTACGTCATGTCCACGTTGTATACGCATGTTTCTGCTCGTGCATGAGCAACCACACCATGCAGAAGTACAACTCTTCCAACCATGCCAGGGCCACGAAAGTGTACCGTGCTTGAGCACAGCAGGGAGCACTCACACTACGTTTAGTTTATTAGTTTATTTTAATCTAGGACAGTGTACAAAACATTAGTCTCAGAAGAGAAGAAATGCTTTTTACCAGATTAAGCTAACTAGCTAATTGTTGTCCTGTTGTCCCTGGGCAGATGATGGCAAGAGTAAAATACAAATCAACCAATCATGCATGCACGGCGCACACATACGTACATGCTCATACATATTTCATAAGAGAGAAGAAGGACATAGAACAACATAAAGGAGGGATGTAAAGATTAATCATGATAAAGCGATTTCAAAGCTGAAAAATGAATCTCAATAATATAGTGAGTGTCAGCAGCTGTAAAGCAAGATTTAGAAATTGAGGAGGCAGCACCGTTTTTAATTAAAATCTGAGGTGTGGAAGCATTTTGGCTTCCCCAAGACAGAAAATGAAAGAGGTGAGAAGATAACAGACAAGACAAAAACTGTGTGCAAATATTACAAGAAGACAGAGAACGACACAAATAACACAACCAGCATGATGCAGCATTTAATCCACACCACAACGAGAAGCTCCAATCACCTCCCCTTGTTGATAAAAACAAAACATTAAAAGGCCAAACCACACTGACAAGCGGGTCTGCAGCCCCTACAGGAATCTGTTTCACTCATCATTTGTCTACAGTTCATTTTGTAAAATAAATTGAGAGAATCGTATTGTGAGTTGAGTGAATTGTTGCATCACTAATATAAATATATTACAACATTATGTACAGGTTTCCCTGAAATGTAAAAGGTTGTCGCGATGACACATTAATGCTGACAAGACTGGTAATTCAAAATCAATTTTTGACTTTGCAGGTCAAAGTGCAGACGTTTGTGCAAAGTTTCAGAATAGTTGGAAGATATTCTTTAATGACTTTGGGGGTCAAACGTGCTTGGACAAGATATGGATTGCCTGGTGTGAGTGCGCCCATACATTATGTTCTCATGGCCTTATCTCTTTTACTTGGTTGTTATCCTGTCAGAAGTATTCACATTTTCATCAGGGGTGTCTATTGTGGTAACTTACACCTTCTCAGTGGAGTTTAAATAATGTTATCTTTTTGTTTGCTGTAATCTGACTCATCAACAAATCTTGGGGGAAAGGCAGAGAGAACTGAAATGTATTTTTATTCATTCTGTACTTTCTGTGTTTACTTTCTCAAGAACAAAATTCAGCAAGAAAACCAGCCAAGGAGAACCTCAGTACAAATGGTTGTCTTTCACTCCCCCTTTTTACCTCAACACATCTCCATTTCCATCATCCCTCTGAAGTGTCTGTCGTGCAGCAGTAGAAATAGCCAGACTCTGGTTTTCAACTCAGCACTTCATGACCAGCTATTTTTAGGCGTCAGCCTGCAAGGAATGGCTTCAAGTTATTTGTCCAGCTCTTTCTCTGTGTTGGAGCCGCCCTCTTAGTGTTGACAAAGAAATGTGAGTTCTCTGAGTTGAACTGCCATGGATAGCACAGAAACTGTTCCAGAGAATGTGGATGATTATCACACAGCAGACATTGTTCTTTTAAAAATGTAGCAGCACCATTAAAGAAGCACAGGAAGTTAATACAACCATGAGCCCCCCACACCAATTTATGATGGTTTTGTTTAACCCAGAGGTTATACTTTAAGATGTATATGCTGTCAGACTGTTGGGTTTAATTAGGTTTAAGTTTGAATATTCAAACCAGTGGTTGTGTTGCACAGAGTTAAAATGCTGTGTACAGCATGTCTCCTTCAGTCTGCTTGTGTCAGTAGATTAAAGAACAAGCCTTTCAAGATGAGCAGGATGCATGGTGCACGTTGACTGCCAGAGGCTCATGAGAGCTTAAATCTCCAACAACATTTTCTCAATAAGTTTTTCAGATGAATGCTGGTGAGATTTTTGTGGAGTGTGTGCCACTCTCGCCCAACACTCAGTTTGGTTTAGGTAACAGGGTGACTAGGAAGAGCGTTCATGAGGAGGAGTCTTGAGCCCTTTACAGATTGTGCCTCTGCAGCTGCGCTGTAGTGAAGTTCCACCATCAAGACTTCATTGAACTTAAACATGTTTCCATCCACGTAGTATTGGTGTGCCTGGGTGTGAATTCACATTGCATTATGTGCATTGCCGAAGTGCGACAGGAACGGCGTGTGAGCAGTCTTATCCACCATTTCGCCTCTGTGGGTTAAACATTCCACATTCCAGCCAGTTGATTTATTGATATTTCTCGTCAAAAGATCAAATCAAATAGGATAAGCATTGAACAGTTTGAGACAGAAAAGAGACACACACAAACTCATTCAACTTGCATAGATTTCGGGTAATGGAATACATATAATTGTTAGAATATAAATCAAATGTTCCCCTCTTTTCCTATATTTGTGGCCTCTATAATGTTCATGTTCCCAGAGCTGAAAAAAAGTCTTTCTGCTT